GATCGTTGTCACAAAAATAAAATTCCCTTCTATCGACTATCAGCAAACTGAAATGTTTCAGCTGTGACAAAGCAGGAGTATTTTTGCACCCCAGTCTCACTACTTCCGGGAAAGTCGTCTATATCCTCGGGGGCGGAGCTACGTCACGGACGTTCTACGTTGCTAAGACGCGCACCACTGTACAACGTAAGGGCTTTGTGTGCGCTGCTGTGGAACGTCTGTGGAGGCGGTGAAAACTCGAGAAAACAACACAAACTCAACTTTGAAGTAATCCTGAACAACCAAATTCATATATGTTACACATGTAGGGCTAATCTTGTTACACTGTTCAGAGGACTTTCAACAACCATCGCAAAGTACCGTTTTCTGCGAGTTTTTGGTCTTTGTTTTCACCACGAGGGTTGCCAGGCGGTAGAAAATGCCCGGATGTCCGCCCCCAAGGATACCTTTCCTATAATAATAAGTGGCGCCCTCTTGCCCATAGTGAGACGGAGGCCCGTTTAAAATTGGCATGGTTTGCAGTAGTGCATCATAAAGATTATTTTTTGAAGACATTATTTTTTTACTGTATTTATTACGAATAACACAGTTTCACCCATATCCTCGGGGGCGGAGCTACGTCACAAGACGTTCCACGTTGCTACGACGCGCACCACTGTACATGCATTTCTATGAGCTCTGTGCGCGCTGCTGTGAAACGCTGGTCGAGTCGGTGAAAATTCGAGAAAACAACACAAACTCAACTTTGAAGTAATCCCAAACAACCAAATTTATATATGTTACACACGTAGGGCTAATCTTGTTACACTGTTCAGAGGAGTCTCAACAATCATCCCAAAGTACCGTTTTTTGCGAGTTTTGGGCCTTTGTTTTCACCGCCGCGGGTTGCCAGGCGGTGAAAATGCCCGGATGTCCGCCCCCGAGGATACGTCATGTTGATGTCACAGTAGCGCTCTGCCACTAGATGGCGCTATAGGATTGTATGGTCGATTATATTTATGACAAGTTTATGACAAGGATTTGGTTAATTGAAATTCTCAAACGGAATGTAAATGTTATTTTTTCTAACTATTCCCTTACCGACAGTGTACATACATCTACATTCATCTTCCTGGTTACATATTTGGGACGAATTTAAAAAGTTGTGTGAATGGAGTTTATTGGATTCAGCATCGTACCCAGAACTCCCAGAATTCCTAGAATTTGACGATAAAAAAATCGTCATTCCTGGTAAAGGAAATGACGTCAAGTGTTTAGGTATTTGTTGTCTTACATAAAACTCCCCAATAAATAGCAATATGATCCCAAGTTGACCCACTTTTATTTTACTCTTATTCAAAGAAGAAGAAGATTTTTGATTTTTAAAATGTACATTTATTAAAAGACACATTGTCGTTATACATAAATCGATAAAATACAGGTGAGCGTCACTTCTAAATTAACATTCAGATAAATTAATTTTAAAAATTGTGAATATATTGTTAATGACTTTACATAATGCACTAAATATAGCAACTGTTGAATTTGGAAAAATTATTATAATGTTTGTACTTAAATGATATATCTTGCATTAATTAGCTGTTCACCATCATATCTAACAATGGCTTCATTGATGCACCACTTATACGTAAAACATTCTGTATTTCCGTTGCTCAAGTAGTAGTTGAAGAAGAAGAAGAAGAAGAAGATGTCGACGATGTTCCAAAATGCACGCAACACGCTCGTACGGTGACACGAAGAATGAACAGAGCCAAATCAATGGGAACGCAAATTGCTGATTTGACCTTGCCGCGCTGTGATGAGAATGGGAACTACAGACGAAAACAGTGTAATCCGTTCTTGTGAGTATTATAGTAAAATTATAATTAACATAAACAACTCAATATCAAAATTCCTAGTTAAACTAGGTATTTTGCAAGTCCATGAACGCAAAACAAACGAGTGAAGAACAATCTACATGTACAAAACAGCAACTGAAAAGTAACCTCCAACACATGGCTGGGTGAGGAAAAATCACACGAAGAACATAAAACTCTTTACCGATGTATTAGAAACCGAAATTTTCATCTAACTATAAGGCCGTCGCTGATTGACTGCTCAGCTGGAATGACAAGTTTTGGTTTCAAATACCCCAAGAAAATGTTCTATGTTCTTCGTGTAATTAAGTGTTCGTATTTAAGGGATTTTTCCACACAAAAACGACAAATTCGGCCGAATTTTGTTATCGGTTGGCTTAATATTATATTCAAAGATTGGCATTTTTGTCCTAATTTGTAGGAATCTGAAAAACGCGTTTCACAATTTGTCTCATTATTTTTTGTCTTATGCCGCATTCAAGATGGCGGCCCCCATATAGTAAATATTGCATTTATTTTATTATCACGCGTGCGCCAGCTGACTGTGGGGAAAATATAATGAAATCGAAGTCAAGACATAAAGCCATGGCCTGGTGCCAGGTGTTTTGTAAAGAGTGAGCACATTCTTCTCCACGTGGGGCATCTGCCATATATAATTCATTCGTGATTACAGTGATATTAAATATTTTGTTTGTATTCTTGTATGTGAAGTGAGTATAATGTAAGCTCATTTTTCGTGTTACAGGAAACATACAATGTTAAACAAAACAGAAATATATGTAGCCCGTAACTCGAAGCTTTGTTAACATGCTTATTGAGCATTGTGTCACAATTTGGGCGTGTTTTTTTCCAAAAGTGGGCGTGGTTTCAAATCAACTATGTTACCATGTATCAGTGTGTAAACCTAGATGCTGAATTGTTCGAGTTACGGACATCGAGTTACGAAAACGCTCTC